AAGACTCTCTTCTAGCCCGTCATCTTTATTTCATGCAGGGGCAAGATGCTAAGTAGATCTTCCATGATGTGAAAGGATGAGCCAATAAGGACTAGGGGAGACATGATAGCAGTGTTCCAATATCTCAGGGGCTGCCCCAAAGAAGGGGGGGGTATCAAGCTATTCTCCAAAGCACCTGAGGGCAGCACAAGAAGCAATGGGTGGAAACTAATCAAGGAGAGAAGCAACTTAGAACTAAGGAGAAATTTCCTGACAGAACGATTAATCAGTGGAACAACTTGCCTCCAGAGGTTGTGGATGCTCCAACACTGGAAGTTTTTAAGAAGAGACTGGATAACCATTTGTCTGAACTTGTGTAGGGTTTCCTGCCTAAGCAGGGGGTTGGACTAGAAGACCTCCAAGGTCCCTTCCAATTCTGTTATTCTAGTCTATTCTAATTTAGAGAAGTCAATCCATGAATAAATGGTGACAGTTCTACATAAAACTAACATGCTTAGCCGTATGTAAGTCATAGATTATGGTTGAAAAGCTGTATAGGTACAGGGATTAAGAAGGAAATGCATGTGACCCTCTTACCCAAACAAAAAGGATTAGTATGTCATGTGAATAGATCATCAGTAGCATGTAACTTCACACATTATGCTTCATCATGATGATGTTTGGGTTTTACTTTACTGCTCAGTCAAATGCAGGTCAACCAAACATAATTAAGTTAAACACAGGTCAACAGGATGAGTCAATTCAGTTACTAAGTTTATTTTTGTTTGTTTTTTTTCAACGTATACCTTGTTTTTCTAACTATTAAAACTTCGAAAATGCACGAACTAGGAGATGGAAAAAAGGAACAGAAGAACTTCCCTTATTCTGAATTTAAGCCAATGGTCTGTCTAACCCAATACTGTCAAAACAATGTTATAAGAACACACAGCTATTTGGTAGTAACTGGAACAATGAAAAAAGACATTTGTCACCACCTCACAATGCACATTTTGTCATTTATCTTGCATCTTCCCCAGAATGTTAACGTTGGGAGAGCGAGCTGCTCTACGAGTTGTTCAAGAAATCGCAGCTTAGCCTATTATGTTAACACAACTGCAGACTTCCAGGGATAATATTTTCTTCTACTCTAGATATTTTAGGATTTGAACATCAATATGAAAACTTTTACACATTAGGCTGCCGAAGGATAAGAAAAGGTATGCTAGTAGGGCTGGAAAAGTCCTGTGTGCTGCATTTTCTTCTAATGAAGTCGTCAGGAGAATGAATAAAAAACGTTTCACTGAGGAATCCAAAGAGTCCTTACTTGTTGATGAATCTTACAACACAGAGGAAGATGTGGTTCCAAATATAGAAACACGGCCAGCAATTCTGTTATATTGCATCAGTGACAATCCAGCAAGAAAAAAAAACAAGACTGTTCTCTTCCTGTTTTCATTTTAAAGGCCAAAGGAACTTTCACGTCGTTAAATCAAGCTTTCATCAGAACATTTGACAGCCAGAACCACAGTGAACAGGCTGCCTAGCAGTCAGGTGGGGAGTTGAATTGGCCACCCTAGAAAGATTAAGGAACACCGTATTTATAGAAAGAGAGCTGAATGGGATGCAAGTAATTCCATTCAATAGTATGGTGCAACAGATAGGAAGAATCTGTTCCTCTAATCAGGATTGGATTTTCTCCTCCCTTCTAATCTGTACAAGTAAGGGATGCGGGAGCTCAGTGGCTAAGACACTGAGCTTGTCGATCGAAAGGTCAGCAGTTCAACGGTTCAAATCCCTAGTGCCACGTAACGAGGTGAGCTCCCGTTACTTGTCCCAGCTTCTGCCAACCTAGCAGTTCAAAAGCTCGTAAAAAATGTAAGTAGAAAAATAGGGACCATCTTTGGTGGGAAGGTAACAGCGTTCCGTGCGCCTTTGGCATTGAGTCATGCCGGCCACATGACCACGGAGATGTCTTTGGACAGCACTGGCTCTTCAGCTTTGAAACGGAGATGAGCACCGCCCCCTAAAGTCAGGAACGACTAGCACATATGTGCAAGGAGAACCTTTACCTTTATCTAATCTGTACAACCGTTTTTGTGAAAGTGTATGCCTATATGGCACAAAGTCACAGTATGGTTTAGGGTTTAGCCAGTCTAAGACATTTGATAAATAAACTCCATTATTCAGGATATTTTAGTTTAGCCACCGAACTACTGAATTTCAATAAACCATAGCTTTTCCTCTGGTCAAAGTAAATAAGAACCATATGGCTTTTCCTTTGATCAGCATTAATTAAGCTATTATTATTATTAAGCTATTATTATTAATTAAGTCTTTATATTTTTTCTTGACTATTCTGAATGATGGGTCAAAAGTGTCCTCTTTGCCCTTAACTACACTATACTGTCATTTCCTTAACTGTTCTATGTTGACTCCAGTTATGTAGATGTAATGTACTAAGCCATAATGGGATTTATCTTTGGGCTTATGGCTTAGCAAATGTGCGTGAACCAAGCCAATCACAGTTTATAAAATAAACCATGGATAAACCTGTGATTTATGAATCCAATGAACGTTTGCCTTTGGCTACTACCTACAAATATCATGTTCCAGAGTTTAGGGATGAGTTAAAAGGCTAAGCTCAAGTTGTCATTAACAATCTGGTGGCATCAAAGTATCTTGGGTGGATGGAAATATACATATATTACATTTGTGCTGTACTTTTAGATGTTTGTTCCACCTTCTCTTCAGAAGCTCAAGGTGGCTTTGTAGAACTTTCCATTTTATCTCTACTACAGCAAACCTCTTCTGAAGTAGGCTGGGCTGACAAGTGAGCAACTGGCTCAAAGTCACTTAGTGAGTTTCCATGGCTGACAGCGGACCTGGGTTTTCCAAATCCTAATCTAACACTTTGATCTCTAGATCACGCTCTCTTTCTCCTACAAGCCTTTGAAGGCAAATCTTATGTGCAAAGACCGGGGAGGACATCCAGGGGTGCAGCTCCCACCTCCATCACCAACACCTGCTGCTTAATAGTTTTAGGAGTGCTAACAAGTTGCTCTGCACTGGACAGAATATGGAAATGTCACAGTGCCTTCCCCAAAAGACTTTCAGTCCATGATAAGACATGGAACAAAAATGGAACAGCTCAATTCTGTCACGCATGGGGCAGCGGGGGTGGAGTGGGGGAATAACTGGCAATAAATGGTTCCTGTTGTGCCATTGTCTCTTTCCACTTACCAGCCCTGACCTCCTCATCTTTCTACTACACATTTCTCTTGCAACATCAAGTGCAGCTGAACTGTAACTCCTCTAGACAGTTAAACAGACTTTGGTTTCAGAGGTCACAATGCAATAACAAATAGTAAATAATAGATGCTCTAAGCTCCACTTTTAACCCCGTTTGAAATTCACCTGCATGTAAGGCCACAAAGCGGATTTGTTTTTCCCTGCAGGTTTCCTGCATTTTTTTAATTGCAGGAAACCTGTGAACACTTTCTCCAACTGCTGAATAACTGTAATCCTTGCAACATAGCTCAGGAGATATTGGCAGGAACAATTTTGTAACAACCAATTCCTGCACTTAGCATGTATCAGAATTGGCTGTGCATTTTTTAACAGCCCGGGTTCCCACTCTGCACTAAGCCATAGTTTAACCACTGTTAAATCACACCAGCAAAAAACCAAAAAGAACCCTCAAAATGGAGCCCATATTTGTGGTTTTAGAAGCCACATCGACTGCAAGGCCAGAGGAGTTTAGAAGACAGATTAGATAGTCATTGCAGTTCGTCAAATTCCCTAAAAACACGGAATGCCTTTTGTTATCTGAACGCTTACAGCCAATTATAAGCATCCAGTTTTTTCCTCTCATGGTGTGAAACATCCTCCAGTGTATTGATGACAACCTGGTACAACGGTGGAAGTGGGGAGGGAAGTGTTTTATTGTGTGTGTGTATTTTGTTTTGTTTTTTGCAAGCAATATTCTTGTCCCCTGCATCAGCAGCAGCCAGTTCTGGTATATAAATAACCAGGTTCAGGAAAAGGCACTTTCCGCTCAGCTCTCTGAACATTGTGAATCAAGAGCGTTTTGAGTTGAATAATAAAACAACAACAAAAAAAAGGAGAGAGTCTGCTGTAGCCTTTAAGTTCAAAAGCCTTGTATCTGTGCACTTTCGCAGATGTTGGGGCCTCCATTCGCTACCAGCAGGGCTGTCTTCATTTCATACGCCAGATACTTTGTGTGTTTCCAAACCACCTGAAAAACAGCTTTAACCTCCTCCTTTGAATTTCCAGGGAATGGTTATTTGCAATCAGGCACAAGATAGGTGTTCAGACATGGTCTTATTTCTGGACAAGGAACAGCTGGAACCTAGCCACTTGGTTCCTACGTAGCTGATACAGAAGATACTTTTGCTGCAGTTGGACAGGCAATGGCTGCGACTGCTGATCATTAATTTACAGGGTGTACAAATGTGATTTAGTTTACATTAAACCATAATGTGAATTGATGCAAATGTTATTCTCTTCCTGACACAGCCCTTGACAGTTAACAGATGTTGCCCTGCGTTGTTATTTTTACATTTAGATTCTTGTAACTATCACCTACATTTCTAATTGTATCATTGCATTACTGTTTAAACAACTGGCTCCATTATACTTACGCCTTGTGAATCATCAGAAAACAACAAAGAAGTGGGCTGGATGAATGCATGCACGTTTACCTAGAAACATACTTTGCTATTCATACTTTCTTTTTTAAATCCTCTACTTCTCTATCAAAGCTACAATCCTAGGTAAATGTAACTGAGAGTAGAACTCCACTGAATAGTGAGATAAGAAAACATGCAAGAGGTTGTGTTAATGTAAGAAACCATCTTTATTTTGTTAATAAAAATTTAAAATTCTAAAGCAGAGTAGCTAAAATCTCAAAAATTATTATACTGTTACCAATGTTATTACGTTTTAGACTGCCTTTTATGCACACCATTTGTTGATGCCCCACAATACGAATGGGCAATTAGTTTTCAATAAAAGCACCAACCTTTATTAATCATCCATTATCCTCCTGTAGTACCATATGGCTGAATGCAGATTGGTGTCATCCAAATGAATTGGACCACCATCATTCATCACTGGCGTTATGCATGGAATTGAAATTCTACTTCCAACAGAAACCTGAAAATACAAGGGTAGGGAAGGCTGCAGTAGAACGTTTCTGAATACATAACAGAGGACTGTGCTCTGGATTATTAGATACAATTCTCAGGTCAAATTCTCATATAAACGTTCAGAGCAGTTCTTCAAATATTTATTTTGGCACTAATATTTATCAAAGACCATAAATTAGTCATAAATGTATGGATCGAAACCAGATGTCGTTGATGATGAAATGCAATCTTGGCAATGAGAACACAGAGGGGATACCAAAGTGAATGTCACACCTCAGCGCTAAGATTCCCAGACCACTGTTTTGAATCAAAACTGGTAGCGTTCACATAGTCATGTTCAGAACTTAATATAATTGTGGTTTACTCCCATTTCACATCACACACTAATATCGAGCCCTGATCCGGCGATCGCAGCAATGAGCGAGGCTGCAGCAGCGACAGCAGGACATGCCGGAGCGGCGTCGACAAGCCGCTCGTCAGCAGGCCGCTCTCCCGGCCAGTTCCATGCAAGCGGCACTGGGCAGCAGGCAACAAGGCAGGTGCCCAGCCTCAAGGGCAAGGAGGCAATGGCGGCGACGGGATTTCTGACGACAGCGCCATACAGCTGCTCACCAGCTGATTGCTCCTGTGTCCCTATATGTGCCTCCGGCGGGTTGCACAAAACCCTGAAGCTTGTCTCCAGCCCGGCCACACCGCTGCGGCCGGATGTTTGCTACAGGCAGCCGGATGATGGGTGACCAGGGGGCCTGTCTGGCCAGCTAGAGGGTATTGCCCTGGACTATAAAGTGCACTGGGAGGCGAGAGCTGCCAGCGCTGACGTTGCACGTAACTGTGTGTGATACTCATCGTGTACCAAGGCTCTGGCCTATTATTGTGGATTAAAGCCTGGGTTACTGAGCTGCTCTGTTTCCTGTGTGGTTGCTTTGATCCTCACCCGGTCCGGGTCTGGACCATTTGAGAACTAAATCTTAAATAGTCAGCATGGAATTGGTTTGCAGTACAGTTAATGCATTACCCAGAGTACTTCACGATTTAGCTAGTTAAAATTACCATTGGATAAATATACACTTTCATACGAATATGCATTCTAGTTAGCTTGCAATTCAGTATGTCATGTGACCTTAGCCAATGATTATAGAGCTGCAGCTGTCCAAAGGTTATTAGAGTCCAGCTTCCATCACTTCTGGTCAGTGGCTACGATAATTGGATGCTGGACTCTAGCAACATCTAGAAGGCTACAGGAACCCCATCCTTGGTTGAATAACACATTTGAAACCCTAACATTTGAAATCAGTATTAGACACACTTGGAATCAATCTAACTCACTGAGTTCACTGGGGTGACTTCTGAATAAACATAGCAGGGATTGCACTATTACCAGGCCAGATTAGTTGGGAAGCAACATTGTTGACAGTGTACGCAGTTTTGATCACTAATACATTTAAATTGCAGATAGTAAACAATGCTACAAAAGAAGTAGAGATAAAACAGCTGCAGTCCAAGTGTGCCTCACCTAAAAACAATTCTTTCAGAATGATGCCATTTACTCACTTGATGAGAGCAAATAAGAGATCATTGTTGCTGCATCAATAAACGAGCAATGTATCCTTTCTACATCAAACCACGTAATTGAAGATTTAACAATTAATGAATTGACTCATATGCCTTCAAATCAGATGACAGTGCTTGTTTACCTTCATTTATAGCTCACCTCATCTTGAGAGATCTGGGCTAATTATAATCTAAAACAACCTCCTAAAACTGAGAAGTTATTAGTCAAATACTAAGGTAACCTAATAAATGAAAAGAACAATAGATTTACATATCCTGCTCAACAAAGATACCATTTATTTGATTTTGGCTTGGGGCGATGTGTGAATCCAGCTACTGCGATTTATAATCCACAGCTGATGGCTTTTGAATAATGTGCAAAACAAACCCCCATGGTTGTTCAACAAATTCTGGTTAAAGCAAACTTTGGCTTCATACAGCAATGTTTGCTTAACCTCATTCATTCAAAGCCAGGAGTCTTAACAGCTTTTCTGAATTGTCAGCTTTCAGGAACATCTATAAAGGTTTTGTTTTATGGACAAAGGTCATCAGCTCCTTTAAAGAACAGGTATAAGATAACACAAAGACTATTTCCTTGTCTCTGCATTTTACAATAGGAAAAAAACTCACGAAGAAAGTTGCTGTTGCTATATGATGTTTTGGCTAAACCTTCAAATATATTTAAAAAGACACTTTTCTCATATAGTATGTACTCAGCATACGAATAAGAACCAAGAAAGATTTTAGGCTGAATTTTTGAATTACAAAGGACTGTAATGGAGTCCTTTGTAATTCAAAGGACTGTAATGGAGGTAGCAGTAGCTGGATCTACTATATGGTATTATAAACTTCTTAGAAGAAAACTGAAAGTTGAGTTTGTTCATTTGTGGCTTGTGGGTAGAGGCTTGCGAGCAAACATGTTATTGGCACATGCGCTCGACCAGCTCCTGCTGTTCTGCAACTTGAACAGCAGATAAACAAAGGAAGCCTGAAGTTTCAACACAGCCTTAAGAATACTTGGCTAAGAATATTTCTATAAACCTTGCACAATTCAAACCATTTACTGGGCACTGATGCCCCCTGGTGTCTGATATTTGCCAGACACTTCCCCAAACCTTAGGGATTTATGAGATCTATTCTATACCCTCCAATTGGAGTTTTGATATTCAAAGTGCAATTTCTAACCTTTACCGGTTGACGGTTTTATTTCTTTATGGTGAATTGATTAGCTGGGATGGGCTCAAATGTAGAAAACTCCAGGATTAAATCAATATATCAATAGTGTTATTGATTTTAAATTGATTAAATTCTGTCAGAATTTGCTTCAGACATGGTTTAATGAACAAGTCATTATAGGCTGGTTCATTTTAATTATTTTTTTGTCTATCAAATTTCTATACCACCTAATACACTTGCATACCTCTGGGCAATTTCCAGATAAAACTTTAAAATAATAAAAAAGCTATAGTTAAAAACAAAGTTAAAAGGAATAATTGCAAAGTTAAAAGGCAGAGGAAGCCCATCATATATAACATTAAGCTATAAATCTTGTTTACAACCATATGACCTAGTTCACTCAATATACTTAGTCTTACTATATGCTGTAGTTTCTTTGAGTTTAGCTTAGTGAGTTGCTGCAATCCATGTTTTGTGGTTTAGCAAACCTGTCTGCAAATACTACTTTAAAATGACATGTGACCATGTCACATTATATATATTAATCTAAACAAGCCACTGTATTATGGCTTTGTTTGATGTGTGAATCTGTATTAAATACTGACCATCTTGCCAGCACAGCACTCTAGCTTTCCTCGTTTGTTGTTAGACACAGAAAATACATGAGATCGTATTTTGGCATGGTCTCCCCATGAACAGTCTCTATTCAGCTTGCCACCCACCACAATTCAGATAACTGACCCAAGTGATGTAGGAGAAAATGATCTAACGGAGCCTAGATCCTAGAGGATGTAAAGAAGACCAGCATTTTGAATAGAGTATAGCCCTTTCTGAAAACATTAACATTGTTTTTATATTTAACATTATTCAAAATGGACCGTCCACACAAATACTCTCCATAAGAATCAGTCCTCAATCTTGTCCTTCAAGTCTTCCTACAGTGCACCCAGCTTTACTGTCATTGAGTCCATCCATCCACCTTTGTTCTTGGTATATGTGTGTGCACCTTCAAATCAGTGTTGACTCCTGGTGACTGCCTGGACAGTTTTCTTAGCAAGATTTAAGAGGCGGTTTGCCCTTGCAATCTTCCTAGAGTTGAAAAAGAGTGACTGGCCCAAAGTCACCCAGATGGCATTATGCCTAAAGTGGGACTAGAATTTTTGTTTCTATTCTGCCTTTATTATTTTTATAAATAACTCAAGATAGTGAACATACTTTATATCTTCCTGCCTCCTATTTTTCCCACAAGCCTGTGAGGTGGGTTGGGTTGGGTTGAGAGACAGTGACTGGCCCAAAGTCACCCAGCTGACTAGGACTAGAACTCACACTCTCCTGGTTTCCAGCCTGGTGCCTTAACCACTGTAGACCAGTGTTGGTGAACCTTTTCGGCACCAAGTGCTGAAACGGGAGCGCACATGCGCAGGGGGGGGAGACTGCCAGAAACTGGAAGAGCAGTTCCCCAGCGCACATGCATGCACCGGGAAGCTGAGCTTCCGGTTTCTGGCATGCACATGCACGCCAGTCACCTGGTCTTCTGATTTCTGGCACACATGCGCACACAAAGCCCAGCGGCTCAGTTTCCCGGCGCGTGCATATGTGCCAGGGAGCTGCTCTTCTGGTTTCCGGCGCTCCCGCATGCGCAAAACCATCTAGCTGGCGCACCGGAACCCAAGAGAGCAACAGGTGACGGCTGGCGTGCTCGGAGAGATGGCTCTGCACACCACTTCCGGCATGCGTGCCATAGGTTTGCCATCACGGCACTAGACTACTGGTACCATGTTTCCCCAAAAATAAGACCCTGTCTTATATTTTTTTTGAACCCTAAAATAAGCGCTTGTTTGCCTTATTGCCATGCGCTCAAAAGCCCGATTGGCCTTATTATCAGGGGATGTCTTATTTTGGGGAAAACAGGGTAGTGGTATTCAATATTAGTGGGCTGTCCCCTTTTTGATCCATTTCCAAGGATAATTTTTACAAGACTGCAAGGTCCCGTTGGCCCAGGGACTGGCAGCCAAGAAGAGACCCACAATCCTGCTGCCGCCGCCGCCGCCATCTGATGGTTGCCCCAATTTTTCCAATTTGGTCTTTAATCCCCACCTACCTGGAAAAAAAAGGCCACCGACCTCAAGGGGTCAACCTCTAGGAAGCCTTCGCAGAATAACATCCACGGTGTAATAATAATAATAATCCTGGGGTCACATACCTTGCAAGCCAGGCGGACTGAATTCGGTACCGTCGTTGTTATTGATCCATCGGTTATTATTTCGCTTTCACCCGAATCCCCTTTCATACCGAAGAGAGTCAATCCCCATTTACTTCAACGGGACTGGCGACCGGTGTACAGTGTCGCCAGCCTTTCCCACCTGCAACCTGACGACCGAAAGCGGTTCAGGGAAAGAGGGAGCCGACGCCACGCCGTTATCTCTTGGGAATCATCATCATCATCATCATCATCATCATCATCATCATCATCACAACGACCACCGCGGCCTCCTTTAAACAGCAACACCCCCAACCAAGCTACCCCCGGTTGCCATGGCACCGAGCACTCCCATTGGAGATAACGGCGGTTGAACCAAGTGGTTTTTTTTTTTTTTGAGCGTTCGCGGCTAGGGCGCATGCGTACAGCCTCTTCGCTTTCCCTCGGCTCGCCCAACCAGCTACCGCTTCCTCGAGTGAGGCCGGGGAGAAGGCGGGGGTGGGCTGTCCCGTTTAGGCTTCTACTTGTGCGCCTGCGTGAGAAAATGGGTGGGGGGAGAGAAAAGGTCGGGCCTGCCTGATGCGCGTGCGCAGCTGCGGAGGCGTCGGCAGAGTCTCGGTTTGACAGATAAAATAGGAGGTTTTGTCCTTCTCGGTTGGGGTTGTTTTCTGGTTGGGTTTTCTTGGGGTTTTTTTTTTCCTCCCCTTTCCTGAGGCTTTAGAGATAACTATGTCGTACGGACAGTTAGAGACGTACCGGCCTGGGGGGCTTCCGGTTCGAGATTTCAGCACCATTATCCAGACCTGCAGCGCCAACATACAGCGCCTGGCACAATGCAGTGAGTGATGCTTTTGATCTCTTTGACCCACATAACTCCCACCATCTCCTGGGTTATCCTTCCCTCCCTCCCTCCAAAACAAAACAAAAAAAAAAATCTTTCCTTTAGAAATGATGTTCCCTTTTCTTAACACCACCACCCCCTCCTTCCCATCTCGCTAACCTCTTCATTATAAATCCTTTGTACCGCGTTTTCATTTGTAAAATCCACGCCTTCTCCTAACGTTTAAAGAAAGTGTATCTGTTTAAAATGTTAAATACTACAAAGTACGAATCGGGATGAGAAATATAGTAGCAAGCAGTTCCAAAGTCTAAGAGTCTAGGCATGATCCCTATTTATTTATTTATTACATGTATTTATATGCCGCCATTCTCCCGAAGGACTCAGGGCGGCGAACACAAGTTAAGAAACAAGTACAATAAAATCATAGTTTAATCCAAATAATTAATTAGTAGTAAATAATAAAGCCCGGAATCAGTCTCAGCCTATTTGTTTGAAAAGCCAAGTCTTCAAGTCCCGACGGAAGGAGCGGAGATCAGGAGCCGTCCGGAGCTCAGTAGGTTTTGCATGTAACGTTTTAGAATAATAATAACAATAACAATAACAACAAAAAATGCAGCTTCCTGCGATAACACCAGCGGAACTGCAAAAAACTGTGCTGCTTGGAACATCGTACATCTTAAGAAAGTACTTGGTTGATACCTAGGACGCTGGGAGCAACCCGTATCAATCATTAGCACCAGTCAATGGTATTTGTAATGCATTTTTGAATGTTCAGTTGACTGAGTTTCATGTTTAATGAATAAAGTAAATAATAATAATAAGGCAAAGCTAATAATAAGGCAGAAACTAACTTGGAACTGGTTAAGATCAGGAGTACTGAAAAAAAGAAACAGAAAGCTTTATTTTGGCAGCTCAAGAACAAGCCCTAGCCACAAACCGCATGAAGGCAAAAATTCAACATGTTACCACCAACAGCAAATGCCACCTCTGTAATGAGAAAGATGAGACAGTCGACCACCTGATCAGTGGGTGCAGCAAAATTTCACAAACTGACTACCTACAATGCCATGACCACGTTGCTAAGACTCGCACTGGAAATTGTGCCAGAAGTTTGGATTTGAGTACAGCAAAAACCACTGGGAACATCAGGTTGAGAAAGTTTTAGAGAATGAGAAACTCAAGATCTTGTGGGACTTTAGGATTCAGACTGACAGGCACTTGGTCCACAACACACCTGACATAACAATAGTTGAAAAGAAAAAAGTATGGTTCATTGACATTGCAATACCTAGTGATGCACGGATTGAAGATAAGCAGCAAGAAAAAATCACAAAGTACCGGGACTTGCAAATTGAAGTTGAGCGACTGTGGAAAAAGAAATCGTATGTTGTCCCAATTATAATTGGAGCCCTTGGAGCAATACCCAAAGGGCTACCCCGCTATTTAGAAATTCTAAATTTACCGGACTTGAACATTTTGACTCTACAAAAAACCACCTTACTCAGAACAGCTTACATCCTCCAACAATACCTTAACAGTTCCTAGGTCCTTGGTTAGGACTCGAGCTGCTGAGCTATTAACCAGCCTCAAAGGCTGTGAATCTCACCAAAGATTAACCAATAATAATACCTAGGACGCTGGCAGCAATCCGTATCAACCATTAGCACCAGTCAATGGTAACTGTAATGCATTTTTGAATGTTCAGTTGACTGAGTTTCATGTTTAATAAATAAAAGAGATAATGATGATGATGTAATGTAATAATAATACAGTAATAATGATATCTATCCCCATTTTTGTCTACTGATTGTTCTCTAGATCAGGGTATTTGAGAAAATTGTCTATAGTTTTGGTGTGATAGAGAAGGTGATGATGTAAATATTTAAGCAAGTCAAATATTTTTCAACAGGAAAAAAATAACACACTAAATCTACATCTACACCAAGACCACTCCCATCAACACTGACAGGGCAAGTCACTAGAATATAAATGAAGAGCAGACCCCAGTCCCTTCCAGCATTGATGATGTGATCTCGTTTGGGTAATGGAAAGTCTGCTCCCACCTCCTATTTTCCCCACAACAACCCCTGGAAGGTAGACAGGACTGAGAGTGATTGGCATAAAGTCATCCAGCTGGCTTTCATGCCCAAGGGACTACTGGAACTCGGGTTCGCCATTTTCTTGCCAACAAACTCAATACTACACCGAACTTTTTCTGTGCAAAGATATTCAGACTCTTTGCATAGCATTACAAGGAGTGGTCAGAAATATGGGCAAATCTAAGTTAAGTCATAGCTCCTATTGATTTCATTTTGGGCTTGTAGCTGGCAACTGAGACCACAAAAATGTTCAGGGAATAGGTCCATAACGTTCCCCATGAGACCAGATCACACCCACATTTAATATGAGAGATGATCTCCTGCTGGCACAGCCTGCAGCCTGCTGAGGAATTAACATAGGCTTGAATTGTCCTGTTTCTGCAGGCTTTAGAGATCAATGGACTGAAGCTTTGTATGCAACATACCAGGCTACAATGAGCCTGCAGCTGGATTGGGCTTTTATTTTAAGTTTATAAATCGGATAGTTGGCTTCTTCATCAGAGAGTGTCTTCATTTTTGTGGGGATCTAATCTCCAACAGATCTTCTGAAATCCACATTATTGACTAGGATTGGAATCAATACTTTTAAAACATATTTACAGAATGCCTGTTGATATCTGCCAAAAAATCCCAGAACTTCATTTTTCAATAAGTGAAAAGGGGGGGGGGGTGTTTAGTAATAAAAGATATTAGTGCATGGGGTTACTGACTAGCGATCTCACTGGCACTCCCTTGATGGCATTTTTTTTTTAATTTAGCCTCTTCTCACATCAACATATTTAAACAAGAATTCATAAATAGATGAAATAATTTTGATAGCAGCCTTCCCAATGACTTAGGGAGATATATGTTGATGTTATTATAATTGCTGTTCCTAAAAAGTGCCCAGAATAGCACGAACTCTAAACAATCAATGTTCTGTTGACTGTCAGGAGTTTTAGTGGATTGTTTTTTGTTTTGGTTTCTCAATTTATAATTGGAAAATTATGGCCGCCTCTGAGCATGTGATTCAATGGTGCCAGATTAGCATCTTGATAGTCTGATTTTATTTAAGTCTTTTTGTGGGCTAAATCCATCTACTCATTGTTGTAACTTTGTTGAGACAAGTTGTGAGCACTGGAATTATTTATACATTACTTATCACTCTTAGAAGATGACTGTTGATTTCTGACTTTAAGCCAGGTTTATATTTGTTATTCACATTTGTTGTGAATGAATCCTTTATTCAATAAAGGACTCATTGAATAAAACAACTGCATACCTGTTTTGGGACTAGAACAATTGCAAAGATAGATAAATAGAGTCTGCAGATGAGGGATATGTAGCTATTACTTTGGAACCAATAATTCCACTTATTTGTTCAATCCCTCTATCCTTCCCAGATGTCTTTAAGATCACTGTGTCTGATTGGTTTATTCTTTGTGTCCTGCAAGTAAAAAACAAATCAATTTTTTTGAGTCTAGCTTGATTTCTGATGATTTCATAGTGTTTGCAGGGGGTGATTATAAGAATCTAGAATTTGAAGTGACGGTCTGTTGTTTAAGGCAATCAAGTGTAATAACTTTCTTCATTGTTGTGGGTTATGACTGTAGTCTCTGAGTTTAATAACCCACTTGAATTACTCATAGACTTTGTGTTGCAGCAAATAATCTACACTCTCTCATTTTCTCATAACTCAGTGGGGAACATACAAGTAGTTCTCGACTTGCAACAGTTTGTTTAGTGACCATTTGAAGTTACAATGGCACTGAAAAAGAGGATTTATGATCATTTTCACACTTACAACTGTTACAGCATCTCCATGGTCATGTGATCAAAATTCAGACGCTTGGCAACTGATTGGTATTTATGACGGTTGCAATGTGTCTGAGTCATGTGATCTCCTTTTGCGACCTGACAAGCAAAGTCAATAGGGAGGCCAGATTCACTTAACAACCGTGTTGCTAACTTTAACAACTGCAGTGATTCACTTAACAACTGTGGTAAGAAAGGTTGTAAAATGGGTCAACATTCACTTAACAAATGTGTTGCTTAGCAACAGAAATTTGAGGCTCACTTGTGGTTATAAATTGAAGATTACCTATATGTGACAAATGATGTTATTTTTTTTACAGCTTCTCAAATCAAGAATTTGATGAATCAGTTGGGAACCAAGCAGGATTCAACCAAACTGCAGGAAAACTTGTAAGTATCACCTGAGTAGCATTTCACGATATGGAGGGCTTGAGGGCTAATCAGATACTCAGGTTAATTTTGGATATCTTAACTTTGAGGTCTAACAAATTCATAGAATAGAATAATATTGTAAATAATTTCCAATGTAAATGGGTTAAGGAAAAAGGTGATTTGTAAAGTTTAGCTTCAGTTTTATGAACATGAACGAGGTATAAAAAAAGATAAGAACAGGAACTAGATAATTTTGTATGATAGCATTACATGGTATCGAAAATTCTAACTTATTTTTTCACAATACTGTATGGATTTAAAAATGGCCAAGGTCTAGAAGCTAATTAAGAAAAAAATTCCTATGGACAAAAACCCCTTGTTTACAAGAA